CACATACAGGGGTTTGAAAACGTTCTGCTCCGAACATCTATCACGTGAGAACTTTTAAGTACAAGGGATTTTTACCTTTCCGGCGACGCTCGTTTATTTCTAACTCTGCTGATCGTTTCTTGATAAGATCCATCAGGCTCAGGTCTACACGGACATACTTTCCAGATCCCGCCAGACTGATTGAATTTTTCAAGATGATTGGTTTCACTATTTGACGGAAGCGAACGTATCTTTTCGGAGATGGCTTGCCTGTGCGATTTCGTATTCCACTTTCGTTCTATTCCATAAAGCTAATGAGTGCTAACTCTTTTTACGGTTGTTGGAATCAGCTCGGTTATTAAGGACTTGTTGTCTTATATTCTTTTCGAGCCCAGCCTCCAGTCTCTTTTAAGAAGACTCCAAACTTCCGAAACATAACTGACCTCTCTGAGTGCTCTATTTTGACGAGCTTCGAGGTTTTTTTCTTGAACTTTTATCTCCACTGTTCAATTTGACAACAGCCCTTCAGGTCTCACTTTTTTCGTTAACGCTGTTATTATTATATATCCCACTCAGTCGAAAGATGTATAGTAATTGTGATGTCATCACAACTCAAGAATCTTGGTTAACTGATTTACAGGTCGATTGCTTAGGATCACTATGTGATTTCAATATCTGTCGTCAGGATCGACCAAGTAATAAGAAGAGGTGTGGAGACAGTGTAGCTACGTTTGTAATCGTTAACTGGTGTCGATCAACTTTTGTATGTATCAATACCAATACCCAGCCTAGATCAAACGCTTCTCAACATGTCAACAACCTTCCTACAATATCTTCGAACTCACTGGTCCTTGACTTCTGATTTTACTGGGTCGATATGCTTCGATTGTAAATAAGTCTCAGAAAAAAGCGCTGTCAAACCCCGATTATCCGTCACATCGTAAGTAATGAGGTCGATGTGAGCTGATACACCAAACGATAAACTGTCTGTTCCTTACTGTGACACTTTCTCTATATATATTCCTACACATCGTTACGTTATTTTTGTGTTTTCAGATTAGCTCGTGTGATCACAGTTTTTTATTATTATTTCGGATCGCGCACTCAAGCTTTTAAAGATTGAGACTCTTGCGTCCCTAACTTTGAACTCATCCCATTCTACCCAGACAATATTTCAGGCTGGTTCTGTTATACAGAAGCTGACTTTCACGAGGACGATGTGATATACTCACTCGAGCAAATCCTCTTAGCGATGAAGACACTAACTTCCTGTGAATACTAGTGATCGTCTATAAAATCTCCAACTCAGGCAGCCAACGGAAAATAGATCGCACATACAGTAAAAGACATCTCTGCCTTGACGTGGATTTGTAGTGGTGTTGGATTCTGACCATAAAATTCTTAAAGCCAAAAAGTATTTACTGAGAGATTTTATATTCAACAGTTAACACAAAGGGAAGGTCAACAATGGTGAACGCGGAGACATTCATTTAGATGGCATAGCTCAGCCTCACAGACGTGGTCATTCTGTATACCTTGTCCTTATTCTCATCAAGTATATCATTCTATCTTTGGCCCAGATGTGTCCTTGACAAATATTAGACATCATATTGCTTATTCTCAGGGTACAACGAGTCATTGTGGATGGTGATGGGACTTACACGTAAGATCTCATAGATTGGGTATTCACATTATGACAAACCTACGATTTTAGGATTAGGCCTAGTATTAAAACAGTGCTAATAACAAACCATACCATAATTCTACAGGTCCATTTAGCCCCATTAACTGGGTTTGTTGCTGCAGACGTGTCAATGCTGGTTACTTTCGGAAACCTACCACAATACGATAACCCATTTCGTCTGCGCAATCAAACATAGGTTAGTAGACAGAAGTAATAAATCATCTGTTTTTGGGACTTCATTCTCTGGTTGTATGTTGTTGCCGGCCACAATTAAAGATTCAGTCGATCCGTGCTTCAAAGCGATCCTCGTTAAGTATCCTGACCTGTACAGACCACAGTCAAAACTACCATGTATAACCAGTGATGTTTCTTATCACATCACGACTACAGGACCGCCTGTATTCACGAAAGCTGGCCAACTAGCTCCCGAAAAGTCAATGCTGGCCAAGAACAAACTCGATCATATGATAGATTTTGGAGTAATCCGGCTATCAAACACCCCATGGGCATCTCCTTTGTAAGTGGCCCTAAAAGGACAACAATGATTGGCGTCCGACTGGTGATTACCTCCGAATTAACACGAAAACTACACCGACTTTTATGTTGGTTTGTTCTCTGAGCTGGATGGTTTGGTCGTGGAGCTTTCATCGTCCTTCTGAACGACATCATCAGCACAAACTTCGGGTAGAAGTGAAGTGTTTGAATTTCTCCACATGTGATTCACAGCTTGTCCTCTGCACCTCGATGTTGATTGGTTCTTATTGACCTTAAATCTGTCATTGTTTATTTCTCTGTTTTAGTTGTCTCTCCTATTTGTTTGATTTTTGTTCCTATGTTTCTGCATAATTTTTCTGATTGGTTGATAAATTGGATTGATTTCTACGTGCTTGTTTATTGCTGATTGACCTGAGTGCCAAGCTTCTAGAAATTCAAAGCCTACTTGAACTCATAGATCTATGTCTAACAACATATTTCCAATTCAATAACAAAATCTACAAACAAACTAAAGGGACACCAATGGGATCACCAATATCAGGACTCATCGCGGAAGCAGTAATGCAACGACTAGAAACCACAATTCTACCAGTGATCAAACCAAAAATTTGGATTCGTTATGTAGACGACACATTCGTCATCGTCAAAAAGGAGGAACTAGAAAACACCTACAAGCAGATCAACAACGTCTTCAACGACATCAAGTTCACAATGGAACAAGAGTCGGACAACAAGTTGCCATTCTTGGATGTATTAATCACCAGAACGGACACAGGAAAACTAGAGACTCAAGTGTACAGGAAGCCGACTCACACCGATCAAATTCTCAACTACAATAGCAACAACCCAAGAACTCACAAAATCAACTGTGTACAAACTTTGTTCAAGAGGGCGAGAACACACTGCAATACAATCACAGCACGAAAAAATGAAGAAAAACACCTGAAAACCATTCTTCAAAAGAACGGCTATCCAATCAATTTCATCAGAAAATACCAGTCGCACACACCATCAGAAATGAAGTCAAGTATAAAAATCAACAAAAGGATCACCCTACCATACATAAAGGGCATATCGGAAACGACAACCAGGCTGCTGAAAACCTTCGGAATAGGTGTAGCCCACAAACCAACAAAGTCCCTCCACTCAATCTTATGCAAACCAAAAGATGAAATGGCAAAAGAAGACAAAACAAACATCATCTACAAGATAAATTGTACCAACTGCAACAAACACTATATTGGACAAAGCGGACGCCCCCTGCATCTTCGCCTACATGAACACCAATTAGCAGTCAAACGCCACGACATTTCTTCACTCATATCAATACACGTGGACAACTACGGACATACATTCGACTGGAAAAATGTGCAGATTTTGGACAGAGGCAATTCCAAAAATACCAGAGAATTTTTAGAAGCTTGGCACTCAGGTGAATCTGCAATAAACAAACATATTGAAATCAATCCAATCTATCAACCAATCAAGAAAATTATACAGGAACATAGGAACAAAAATCAAAATAATAGGAGAGACAATCAAAACAAAGAAATAAACAATGACAGATTTAAGGTCAATAAGAACCAATCAACATCGAGGTGCAGAGGACAAGCTGTGAATCACATGTGGAGAAATTCAAACACTTCACTTCTACCCGAAGTTTGTGCTGATGATGTCGTTCAGAAGGACGATGAAAGCTCCACGACCAAACCATATTGGTGATCCCATTGGTGTCCCTTTAGTTTGTTTGTAGATTTTGTTATTGAATTGGAAATATGTTGTTAGACATAGATCTATGAGTTCAAGTAGGCTTTGAATTTCTAGAAGCTTGGCACTCAGGTCAATCAGCAATAAACAAGCACGTAGAAATCAATCCAATTTATCAACCAATCAGAAAAATTATGCAGAAACATAGGAACAAAAATCAAACAAATAGGAGAGACAACTAAAACAGAGAAATAAACAATGACAGATTTAAGGTCAATAAGAACCAATCAACATCGAGGTGCAGAGGACAAGCTGTGAATCACATGTGGAGAAATTCAAACACTTCACTTCTACCCGAAGTTTGTGCTGATGATGTCGTTCAGAAGGACGATGAAAGCTCCACGACCAAACCATCCAGCTCAGAGAACAAACCAACATAAAAATCACCCACCTGAGCTACAAATCTTCTCCACTACACCGACTTGATTGCTACTTCGAAACTTGCGACCGCCCCTCCGAAAATAGACTTGATCAAAACATATAAACAAATTCCTATGGCTGCAGACGGTAATCCGAAAGCAGATATCATCATACCATTCGGACTTTACAAATTTCAGTGTGCGGCTTTCAGTTTAAGAAATGCTGCACAAACTTCTCATAGGTTCGCCGATGGCGTATTCAGGGGTCTCAAGTTTGTGCACACGTATGTGTGATGACTGCTTGATTGCGAATCCAGCTAAAGAGTTTCTGGATCTTGTTTTCCAGCAACTACAAAAACATGGCATTACTGTAGACATTCGGTAATGTCAGGTCGGCACAGGCTCCCTCAATTTTATCAGGCATACCACTGAGTCTCAAGACAGTAGCCCTCTGCGAAGTGGAGCGGTGACACTTTGAATTACTCAAAATCGAGCATATTCAGGAATTGGTGTATTTTCAACGTTCTGGCAAGTTTCTATTGACAGTTAAAACTAAATTACACGTTTCATATGAAAACATTGACAGATCAACGTCACGGAAATGTAAAAATTATCTACTCGGAAAATGAAGCGTAGTAATTACTCTCTACAGATAAGTGACGTATCCCAAAATCATCTGTCTTCGCCCATCACGACATGATAAGAATTGTTGCCTCAAGAAAGCCTGTTGTCCAGCGCAAAATTTGACTAGTGCGTCACTCCATGGAGTCTGGAGCGATATCTGTAGCTGTTTCTTTGTTTAAAGAGACATTTCCTAGTTTGGATGACGATATCTCTAGCTACATAGAAAGTAAGAAGCATTTCATTTGTAATTGATTACTTCAGGCATTCTCACTGAAAATGCCGAGCATTTTGACTCTGAGGGTGATGTGCATGACGCAATCGGCGGAGTTTTAGATGGATTTCACCGTCAAAATAGTGACCAAGAAATAAAAACTTTATGCAAAAAGATTTATCATTTGATGAGGCCGTACGTTGTTTTGGTTTAACGTTGTTGGCACAGGTCTGACGGATTTGTTGAAAAACAAATTACTTTGGATGCTCCAGTGCAGATGGCAAGTTTACTGGATACATTCAGTGAAAGAGTGGTTGACAATTCTAGTATCTGGATGATGAAGAAACAAAACAGTACTATCGTTGATTCTAAAAAATTAGAAAAGGCTGAGGCTAAAATAAAAGAAAAGCAGCTGAAGAAAGCAATTATCGGAAGACCTGGTAATGCAGGGTTAGTCATACTTCGTAACTGAATATTACTCCTTAGGAAGGCCATCGAGGTCAAGGAGAATGAACGCGCTACAGTTAGTCAACAAGCTGACCGACGGGAACTAGCCTCATTTTCAAATGTAGTATCTCACGTAGGGGATATTCGTTTGGAAAATTTTGACATTGCTTATGGTAGCAGGTATATTTTCAAGAGAATTTTTAATATAAAAGCCTTATATTTGTGTATTTATACATATAAAACAGTCATCGAAATCATCTGTTTAACTTGGGAGTGATGAACGTTAATGTTTATCAGCAAAAAAAAACTCACGGAGTAGTAAAAGTACGCACAACTAGAACTGCAATCATATTGGAACGGTTAAAGTATTCCTGTGGCCTTCTGATTGCTGCCAACTCAGTCATCAGTATGCACAAATAGACTGGTCAACAACTGAGTCAGTCACCTACAACGTAGGACCAAGCACATATATGCATCGGTCCAAGTTGCCATACCTCATTAGCACATCATGAACACCGAATTCATACTTACTTACGCCTGTTACTCCCAATTGAGCATAGGCCGCCGACCAACATTCTCCAACCAACCCCCTCTGTCCTGGGCCTTCATTTCTAGTTCTATCCAGTTTTTGTACATTCTCATGTCTGTCTCCATTTCTCGGCGTAATGTGTTATTTGGTCTTCCTCTCCTCCTTTGACCTTCAGGATTCCACGTGAAGGCTTGTCTTGCGACTCACTTGAGTGACTTCTCCAATGTGTGTCCTATCTACTTCCAGCGCTTTTTCCTGATTTCTTCCTCCGCCGGAATCTGGTTTGTTGTCTCCCACGTAGATTGTTACTGATAGTGTCTGGCCAACGGATCCGAAGTATCTTGCGTAGACAACTGTTGATAAACACCTGTAACTTCTGGATGTTGGCTTTCGTAGTTCTGCGGGTTTCCGCGCCATACAGTAGAACTGTCTCGATACTTGTATTAAAAATTCTGACTTTGGTGTTGGTTGACAATTGTTATGGGTTCCAGATGTTCTTTAGTCGTAAATATGCTGCCCTTGCTTTGCTGATTTGCGTCTTCAAACCTGCATCAGATCCATTGTGTTCATCGATGATGCTACCCAGATATGTAAAGGTTTTCACATCCTTCAGAGCTTCTGTCAGTCAGTCAGTCAGCTACAACGTAGGACCAGGCACATATATGCATCGGTCCAAGTTGCCATACCTCTTTAGCACAACAAGATGAACACCGGATTCATAGAAGCAATTAATTTAGTGATGGTAGTATATAAAGAAAGATTGTATAGAAGGATATAGTACAGGAAGGAAGAGAGATATGAAGCAATTTTAATCTCAAGGTTTAAGGGAAGATAAAGAGTGTATACACCTACGCCATTGTGATCGATTCTGAGCCATGTCACCTAGAGTCTCCAACCATTTATTACGATAGTCACGCGGACCCCAACCAGGTAGTCTGCATCTGCCAACATGGCTCAGACTAGAAGTTAGTGACTTCAAACACTGATGCCATGTTTTGGTTTGGCCGCCCCTAACTCTCTTCCAACAATCCCCTACACTAGTCATCATAGCGCGTCGTGGTAATCGGTGTTCAGGCATACGTAACACATGGCCCAACCATCTCAGTCGATGAAGATTTATCACCTCATCAACTGATTTACCATCGTTACCTAATACCCTGCGTCTAACCTCACTATTACTTACTCGGTGATCCCAGCAGATGCGAGCAATATTTCTAAGGCATCTGTGGTCAAATACTAGTAACCTACGAGTATCTTCTACTCTTAATGGCCATGTTTCGCAGCCGTAAAGTAGAACAGAGCGAACTGCTGCGCAGTATACTCGTCCCTTAATTGATAGACGGATATCTCGTCTTCGCCATAGGTGACGTAAGTTGGCAAAAGCCAAACGAGCTTTTTGAATCCGTGCTGAGATTTCGTCAGACACCAACCCATTAGGGCTGATCAGACTTCCAAGATAAGTGAAGTTGTCAACGCGTTCGACTACTTCACTCCCTATCCTTAGTTCGAGTGTTGACGCAGGCCAGTCCTGGAGTAACAATTTACATTTGGATGGGGAGCTTCTCCGTCAAGTGTAATTCGATTGGTGCATGCTGTATTGTAACGGAGAATCTTGCTTTACCCTTTGTGTATATGAGACCTACTGTTGCTACACTGTTTGTTTTCTCCTACATTTGTTGTTGCGTGTGTGATAAAAGAGCCAGATCATCTGCGAGGTCTAGATCGTTCAGCTGCATCCTAACTGTCCACTGTACCTCGTGCTTCCCTCCAGATGTTGACGTCTTCATGATCCAGTGGATCAGCAGGAGAAAGAGAAAGGGTGAGAGTAAGCAACCTTGCCCGACACCGGTCTTTATTTTGAAAGAGTTTGTGAGTTGTCCTCCACGCGTGATTTTGCAGTTTACTGCACCATAAAAATTCCGTATAATGTTAACTATCTTCTCAGGCTCACCGTAGCGTCTATGAAGCCTCCATAGTGTTTTCCTGTCCACGCTATCAAATGCTTTCTCGCAGTCAACAAAGTTGATGTAGTGTGGTGAATTCCATTCAATTGATTGTTCCACAATGATCTGTAGAGTTGCGATTTGGTCTGTTCACGATCGATCCTTACGGAATCCAGCCTATTGATCTCGAAGTTGGGCGTCTACGGAGTCCTTCATTCTGTTTAACAACACCCTGTTGAAGACTTTTCCTGGTATTGAGAGAAGAGTGATGCTCCTGTAGTTATCACACTTGGTGAGATCGCCTTTCTTTGGTATTTTGATCAGGTGTTCTTCTTTTCAGTCTGTCAGGGGCACTTGTTCTTCATCCCCAATCTTACTGAAGAGAATGTGGAGTATCTTTACAGTTGCTGCTACACCTGCTTTCCATATCTCTGTTGGAATGTTGTCTGGTCCTGCTGCTTTGCGGCTCTTGATTTGCCTGATGGCCATGCTGATCTCTTCAATTGTTGGTGGGCCAACAACGATTGGGACGTCCGTGGGTGCTACTTCGATGTTGGGTGGGTTCAGTGGAGCTGGTCGATTCAAGAGTTCTTTGAAGTGTTCTACCCACCTGTTTCGTTGTTCTTCAATGTTGATTACCTTGCCTTCCTTGCTTTTCACTGGTCGTTCTGGTTTATGGTAATTTCTAGTGAGTTTTTTTGTTGTAACATACAATTGTCTCATGTTTCCTTTTCTCGCAGCCTTTTCCGCCGTCATTGCTAAGTCTTCCACATATTTGCGTTTGTCGGTTCTGATGCTCCTCTTCACTTGCTTGTTTACTTCTGTGTATTCGGCTTGTGCCTTGGCTTATTCTGCTCTTGTTCGGCGGGTATTGATTGCTGCCTCCTTGTTTCTCCTTTCTTCAATCTTATCCAGTGTGCCAACAGTGATCCGTTCCTTGTGATAGTGCTTCCAGTGGCCCAGAAGTGATTGGCTCCTTGATCCCCTTCCAGTTATTCTCCATAGTAGTACCCTCTCCATTGAGTAGACCACGAAAGGCCTGGAACCTGTTGCTGAGGGCTGTCTTGAATTTGTTGAGTTTGCCAATATATATACAGTCTTCTATCGAGCCTCTCCAACAATGGCTGTTGGCGATATGGTCTATTTGAGTCCATCTTTGGTTTGGTGCAGGGGGTCGCCATGTTAACGATGTCTCTCCTTATTGCTTAAAATTAGTGTTTGCTAAAAATATACGATTGCCTGAGCTCAGTTGCAACAGACGATCACCATCATCTGTTCGCTGATTTGAGGTACTAAAATACCCACCTAAATGTCTTTCTGTTTGGTTTAAGCTATCTACTTGGGCGTTAAAATCACTTGCTACGAGTACTATATCTAAGCGTTTAGCTTTATGAAGAAGTTCAGAGAGCTTCCTGTGAACGTCATCTTTCACTTCATCCGGGATGCAGTTAGTGGGAGCGTAGGCAGGAACGACGAAATGGCAACGACATGTGTCCCTATCCTTCCGAGTTCTTACAGAGCCGTTTAGTCGAACAGCACATAGACGACCGTTAACGGGGACCCACTCTAATAGTGCTCATTCTGCTCTCGTACTATGTGCTATGCATATACCTGCAAGTCCACGAGAACTAGCCATTTATTTATTTATTTAAACATAAATATTGGTACAAGGGGGCACCAAATATATATGCGCCATATACACGGAGGGTGTATCTCGTCGGCTCCCAATTTTGGCGAGGAAAGGTCAAGTGAATGACCACACTAGGACCCTGTATGTGTGTTTCGGAGACACAGCATACATCAACCGTACGAAAATCTAGGGTTTTAGCCAAGGAGGAAGGGTGTGTACGTTGAAGGCCCCAATGTGTAGTTTGGAGAGAGGTTTTAGTAGACCTGGGACAGTGTTTTGCGCACTAGAATCGTTGGCTATGGTGACACTTGAGGAGGAACTTTACTGTTGAAAGTCGAGGTAGGAGGAATAATAGGAATTGAAGGAGGTTGATTATGAATACAGTGATCTTGAGTGCTGGTATAGGTATGAGGGCAGTTATCATTTCCCTGTTGCCCACACCATGGAAAGGTTCTTCTAGAGATGCCTAAAAAGGAAATTGGATTAGAGTTGGTCTTAGTGACCTGAGAACGTGACCGCAGTGCCCAAGGGACAACTGCTTGATGTCGGTCACATACGACTTTTTTGTGAGTAATTTCTGTGTTAGTCCCGTACTTGTTGGGATCTTACCGCCGGAGACGGATATCCGTGGTATAAGGCGAAGTGTGTATTTTCAGGGTCAAACTTTGCTAACCCCACTAAAAATTCACACTCATTTAGTTGTCCCACCACACTCTAGTTTTGCATTTTTGGTACTGGAACTGTAAATGTTCATATTGTGCATTTGCTTATTCTCATATTTTTTGTCACTACTTCATTTTACTTTACGTTAGTTAACCTTATTATACCGTTTCGACGTAAACTAATTCTTTTTTTATATTCTGTTTTATACTCGGTTAGGAACCTTCATGTTTTAACTCTAATACTTGAACTTTGTTGTATGTTTCACGGACCATCATGTGAATTAATTTTTGATATTAGTGGCTTCTTACACGGCCTGTAACTGAACCGATCTTTTTAAGTCTGCACAAAAATGTCATTGATAAATTTGTTCCTTAACCATCATCTACAAGGACTATTATCTTACCCTCTAACTTTAGCTTTTACATCAAAACTTCAGTGGATTTTGTAAAGGACAGTAGTGGTCACAATGTAGATGTGTCATTATAATCCTACTAAAACTTAGTGGACATCCATTTGTTTTGTAATACACAGACTATCCGAAACCTATTCATTCAGTTTATTGTTTCTGGGTTGTAAAAAGTCTAAGACCTTCATTGAGTCAGGTATACGAACGGCGAATGTATGTATCTCAATTCTATAACTTCGGGGAATAGTCTTTCTCAGGAGAAAACGTTTAACGGATGTTTTTATATGACCGTTTGGTGTACCATACTGATTACCGTAGAGGGAAGTTGAATCATAAAATCAGTCACTGAAGCCATTAATTATTGGTATAAACCATATAGGGAGATAGATACTTCCTGGTCAATCGTGTTACATAATGGTCATCGTTAAATATTTCCGGCGTATAATACTTTATATGGATTGATGATCGTTGTATTTTCTGATCCAAACCTTTCAAATATGACCCGTATTTGGGGGTATATTGACAGAATCCATAGTTTAAAGTAAAGCAGAGCATTTTAGCACATTAGGCAATAATCCCTCCCTTTATCGTTCAAATCTGTCAAGAGGATCATTTGGATGAAATAATTCCATTGTAACTAACAAACCAATAGTTTACGGTTCTCTTCTAAATGATTGTCACCGTGGTGGGATTTACAAATAAATATTCGCAGTTTTGCTGCTATATTCAAGTCAAAAATTCTCCTGATTTGGCTAACGTACTTAGTTTCACTGTGAAATGGTACATTAATCGTTTAATCACTCAGCTTCCAACTAATATGTCACCAGTTGGTACCCAGCATCATCTATGTCAAGTTAGACAACCAGCTAACACCGGTTGTCACAAAAAACGGTGTGGTTTAAAGTTGAGTACGTAGATCAGTACTTGGCAGGCGAGTTATTCATAATTTCTCTTTACTTTGGGATTTTTTCTGTAGGTAAGTTGAATCATAATAGGTCCATAGTGCAGTTAACTATTGGATGCAGCAGTTCTTAGGTCATGGTAACTTATACTATACGTTAAAAGAACAAGGCAAACTTAGATTTTCACAATCATGCATACTAATTGTTTTTACGTTCCTCCTGTCTTTTCGCAAGGTTATTCTATTTTTCATATTTATTTTCAGAGTTCTCTTACAAGGTGCTAATCTGTCTCTCACGTATGGTAAGAGGTATGGTCTGGTGGGACGAAATGGTTTCGGCAAAACAACTTTGCTTCGATCGTTAGCCAAGTAGGTGTTAGTTTTCCCTCACTTTTCCAAAGTACTTTATGTGTTATGTTTTGGATTTGAATTTCATCAATTCACAACATTCAAATTTATGGTGAAATCAAGTTCAATTGTTGTCATTATAAAGATATCAATTTTACTTCAGTTCTTGTAGTAATCAAAAAGGCTGAAGCGTCAATTTAAATTTAGTAACTTACTTTAAGTTGATATATTAATGCTGAGTAAAACTAGATAGTGGCGAGTCACTTCATTAAAAAAAGAAAATGCTGTTTTGAGATATAGAAAGATGAATAGGTAGATTGTTTGTGTTCTACGAGTTCTCCAGATTACACGTTTTATTCTGTTATCTATTTCCTTGATATAGATTGATACTCAGTTCGTATCTTTGTTTTGATGATATTTTATTTCCAAGATTATTTTGTTATGATAAAAAATTTATCTTCAGACCCATTGGTTTTCTCCAGTTAGCGATTTTCCAGCTGGGGTTGTTATCTCTGTGATCAACCCTCTTTCATTAACCACGTTAGGAGACCGACACTAAGTCCAGTAGGGCTCGGAACGAAGTTATTCTCAAACATACTTATCTCTACATAGTCCTTGTGCCGTTTTGAATCGATCTAAAGATAAATAACAATCCAATTTTTGAAAAATAAAAGTGGCGTCTTGTACGACGCACGCACTATTTTGATTTCATCACTTTCACAACTGACAGTAGTTTACATGTATTCTGGTACTCCAGGTTCTCTAAGAATTACTTATTTAGTTTACTTTTTGGCAATTTACTTCATGCGAATCCTTTTATGGTGCTGTTATGTGCTTATTGGTTTGTTTGTTTTAATTTTGCTCTGTCTACACGTGTCCTAAGTGTATTTGTACGTGACATGTGCATCTGTCATCTTTGTGGCTGGTTTAATTAAGCTGTTGGTCAATAATCGCTTAATATTTCCAGTTAGATGGGACTACATTAAAGGAAAAATGAAGTTATTAGTTGTTTATTAGAAACATCAATCTGTGTTTCGGGAAGCTAATTAGAAAATACCATCATTTCATTTGAAAAACCATAGTCATATATTTGTGTATTTGGACAATTTTTAGTGATAACATTTTTAATATACTTCTTTTGTTATTTGCTAATGTATGAAACATTAATTAGAATATATTGGTAGTGTTTATCGATAAAAAAGTTAGCGTTTTCCTTTTCATATTTTTGATTTTTACAAGTGGTTAGTTCTCGTTCCCCAACCTTTGATCTCGTCTGTTTGTTAGGGAAACTATCTAAATTTAATTGCAGGACATAAGCTCATTCTTTTAGGTACTTCCTATTAGCTTATATTAATTGCTTTTTTTCATCTCACTGTAAGAATTGTAAATTGATTTACATAGATTGTAGGCATCCCTTTGATAGTTTATTACGGGTGATAAACTTCATTTTGTGAATATTATCTCGTACTTTGGAAGAAAGTCTGTGAAATTGTGTAGATGAATAATCGTTTTTTGAAAAGTGCAAATATTTACCACCTTTCCTGTACTAAGAGAATTATAGCTACGTATGGGTTTGGATTCTAATACCGAGGTAAGTGGTATGTCATATATATATATATATATATATATATATATATATATATATATATATATATATATATATATATATATATATAATCTTTACAGTTTTAACAACTTCTTACTACAATTTGTAGTTAAATTTTTACATTTCTGACCAAAAACATTAAGGGGAGATTTGCGCTTACCACCTGGTGTCCGCGTACTACATGTAGAACAAGAAGTTGTTGGTGATTCCCTACCTGCGTTGGAAAGCGTTCTTCAAGCCGATATAGAAAGACATACCCTTCTTATTGAATTGGCTCGCCTTCAGGCTGAAATGAAAACGAGTTCTGGCACAGATCCAGGTTTATCTAATAGCGCAAGCACAATAGAATCTCGGGTTGCAGAGATTTATTCTCGCTTGAATGCAATCGAAGCAGATAAGGCTCCAGCTCGAGCTGCTGTCGTTTTACATGGTCTTGGTTTCAGTCAGGAAATGCAGGTTTGTTAGTATCACATTGTTCAATTTTACATCAAAAGGACATAAAAGCGAACATTATTGTTTTCAGTTAGATCTTCATCAGGCTCTACTCTAATAGAGCTATTAAACGAATCGAGACAGTTTGAGTTAATGATGACAATGAAATAGTTTATATAACTAAATATAATACGTAAAATCTACGAATCGAAAGTACGATAACAGGTGTACTAGTTATGAAAAGAACAGTAAAGGCTTGAATCAATTTTTTCAACAGAGGAAGCAGGTTGAAATTCAGAAAAAATTCAAATATAAACCCGTACATGATTTCCAAGTCCCATTATAATTATTTGGTGTTACTACTCAGTTATAATAACTAGCTATCATAACTATGAATAATGTGTAGTCTACATTTCAACAAACTGTTCGCCGTGGTGGCTGATTCCCACCTTAAGACTAAAATGAGGATATCTCAGGATTTGATACAAATAAAGATCTGATCCGTAAATCCTAATTAATGCATTGGAATTGTCTGATTTCCCAGTATTGAATTATAATAAAGTTTAGGGTGCTGAGAACTATGCTGACCAAGGGTTCAAAAAGTTTTTGCTGTGGTCGAAATTTATAAATTATTTGGTAAATGTTTATAATATCTGTTTAATGGTAAAGGTATCTCATATTATTTTATAGAGTAAGCCTACAAAAGAATTTTCCGGCGGATGGCGTATGCGTTTAGCTTTAGCACAAGCACTTTTTGCAAAACCAGACCTACTTTTGCTGGATGAACCTACCAATATGCTTGATATGCGCGCAATAATTTGGTTAGAAGACTATTTGCAGGTAAAGTTTTTCAGTATTTAGTTTACTTTTTAAATTCGCTTTAACGGATTATGAAATGATATTAAAAATCAAGGTTTAAAGGGTGATAAATAATGAATGAATCTATTGTACAGCGACTAGTTTCAAATCGTGTCACTTAAGGTTTCTAATCAATAAATACAGTACATTCTGTACATTACTAAATCCGATAGTTAATAACTTCATCTTCTGGTTTGGCTGTCTTTTTCTAGCTAATTTGGCAGATGTTAGTCGGGGGATATGTTACGAACGCCCAGCTGCCTTACTTAGTAACCCATTGGGTAAAAGGTAATTAAGCGACTTATACTGCGAATATCATAAGATTTTTTGCAAATATTGAAGAGGTAGCTAGTGTTACTTGATTTACAGATATTTTTTTTACCCAACATGTGTTTCTCATATGACTGCAAGTTGATCGGTTGTTCAGAGCAGATTATGTCTAATGTCATCAGCATGTGGGAGACCGGATTTAAGTTCAAAGACCCAAAGACGTCTGTTCCATTCGAACTTAGGTTCGGTACAATCGGCGACAAAATAATGGACTATACAATGCAAAAAGACCGTTTTAAAGAAATAGTTAAAGAACTGTGTTATAAAGAAGAAAACTAAATGTTTTAAAAAGTTCAGTTTAATAAATGAAAGAAATATTTTTTTCAGTTATGGGAGGTGCATCTTTATTTATGGGGAATAGAACAATAGAACATATAGGGAGGATCTTCACTGGTTTCTATTTCAAGCCGTTTGATATAATCTAAAGTCAACGAGTTGAACAAACTTAAGATCGTATCAAGAGAATCATGATGCATCAACAAATACCGATGCATTCATTATTTATCTCCTAAATTTTTGGCTTAATGTTATCTCATAATTTACATATTTTATTGCTCTATCAAAACATATTTTTTCATTTTGTTAATCTCATTGTGTTGATAAGAATTATGTAAACTTGGATTGAAAAATATATATTCCAGCTTTGATTTTTATTACGCACAATTATTTCATGGACTGATTGCTTGTTTTTTCCATTAAGTCCTGAAGTTGATAAGTAATGGATTATATTAGTTTTTTTCAAACAGTATGCGCTATCTTCGTCTCCAGCTGTACTATTGTGTTTTCAAGACAGTAACCTCAACACTATCGTTGTAGTTCATCCTGTTATTTACTATTCATAAATTTTTATCCCAATCTTATCAAACCTTTTAAGTTATCCGTCTATTTCATTACATCACCTAAATGTTTGGTGGTTATTTTATTTATTTAAACACATAAACATTGGTACGAGAAAGCACCATGTATATATGCGCCACACAAATCATTCGATATGTGTGAAGGCTGAAATACTCTCCAGGTATCCAAACCGAAGCAGGTGGTTTTCTTAGGAGGACACTCCCCGATCCTCTGACCTAGAGGTCCAATCCACAATGCAGTGGAGCAACACCCCCGCGGCGAGAAGGCATCTTGTGGCAGGGGTGTTGTTTACGAAATCGAGGGGACGAAAAGCAAATGTCCGGCGCCTTAACCGGGTTGGTGGACATGGAGGATCCACGTAGGGGGGTTGGAAAACCCTGGTTCCAAACCAATGGTGCACATGGGCTCTAGGATCCTAGGGAAACAAATGACGTATGAACCTTTTGTTGGTCATCGGCCGCCATGAAACTGCATCCTTTTACGTTACTCTACTGCTTTGTGGATCAGATCTTTAGGTCGAAGGCTCCGGGCGTGGCCCCCTGGGCAGTATCACAGCCCTCACACAAAACAAAAGAGATTTGTGTGGCGCATATTTATCTGGTGCTTCCCTGTACCAATATTTATGTGTTTAAATAAATAAATAAGTGTGGCCCCTTAAGAAAACCACCTGCTTCTGTTTGGGTGCCCGGGGAGTATACCAGCCCTCACACAAATCGAATGATTTATGTGGCACATATGTATTTGGTGCCTCCTTGTATCAATGCTTATGCGTTTAAATAATAATAATAGTAATAGAAGGCAGTGAGTAAGACTTCCCTGACAGTGGCTGTATACGCGTGGCCATGTAAGAGCATTTCAAGAGGGAGAGCTGACTCTCGCGACCCTCGGCATCAGCAGGGTATTTGGAAGCAAACATGTTTGATGCGAACATTCTCTATTCTCAGTGATGCAGTATAAATATGTGATCAGGTTTTTCTAATGTGACCTGCAAGTTTAGAATCGGCTATTTCGGTTTTGTAGAGGCTTAATTTCACTGTATTTTTCATTTTACTTTCACTTGATTGTTTATAGTCCTCGTCCAACATCCTTTTGATTGTCTCACACGATCGAAGTTTTTTAAATACAGTCGCAACTGATATAATTCACTTGAATTGCAAGCGTTTGGATGCATACCGAGGCAATTATGATGCTTTTGAGCAAGCTCGTTCTGAAAGATTGCTAAATCAACAAAGGGAGTACGAGTCATTGAAAGCTGAACGAGAGCATATACAGGTGAGTTAAGTCATCATTAAAAACTATTAATCCATGTTTCTAAATAGTTTGTTTCTTACCATCTCACGTATTTTTAGCGAATAAAATAAGTTAACCCATTTGTTTTTCATACGGGACTGTTTAATTTATGGTGTAATATATGAAATCAAGTTTATATTGATATACATGGTAAATTCGTAAAATCACAATACTTTATCTAATTAAGTTAGGTAATCTGCAAACCACAATAAATCAGTAAAAATGAGTTTAGTCAGCTAGTTAGTCACAACGTAGAACCTGTACGTATGTATATCAGTTCAAGTTTAACACATTGGTTATTTCGTTTGTTTTATTATACCATTTTACCACCTCATTTCTAAAAAAAATACTGTAAATACGCTTATACGCAAATAACTGTAAATCAGATCAATATTCTTTGGTAAATCTAATAAATAATTCCACTCAAGATATAACTTCTTCCACTGGCATGTCAAGGGCTAAGTGAGAAGACGATGAAGATATCCTTCATTTGTGTACAATCATCACAAAGTAGAACCTGGTACGTACGAATATCGGTTCGAGTTGCCATACCCGATTAGCACAGAGAAACGAAATTGTCAAGTCAAATCCCAGAATAGTAGAGGTAGTAATAATATCAGTGGTAATAGAAAAGATTAGGCTTCGAAAATATGACTCGAGAAGAAAATATAAATTAGCGAAATAAAATAAATAAAGGTTATGAGGAATTTAAAATCTCAGAGTTTGGAGAAAGACAATTAATGAATTCACCTGTTTCATTTCAAACGATTTTGAGCCACGTCATTCAAAGCGAAGCCGACCCCAACCAGGTAGTCTAAACCTATTAACATGTCCAAGTCAAATTATCACTAACTTCATGGACTGATGCCATGTTTTGGTCTGGCCACCCCTAGCTTTCTTCCAGTTTATTCATGCACCACACAAAATCCGTCAAGTTAGGTGGTGCTTGGACATGCGTAACACATGTTCCAAACACTTCAGTTGATGAAGATTTGCTACCTCTTCAATCGATTTGTCACCTTTGCCTAGCAACCCACTCCTAACCTAGACATCGCTCACTCCCTGATCGCAAAATACACGATCTATGCTTCAAAGACACTCCCGGGAAGTATTCCAGCTCCCACACAAATCGAATGATGGAGTATGGCGCAAATACGTTAGGCACCTCCATGTATCAATGTTTATGTGTTTAAATCAATAAATAGTCGAACACTGGTAATCTACGAATATCCTTTATTCTTAATGGCCTAGTTTCACACCTATGAAGTATAACGGAGCGAATTGCTGCATGATGAACTTGCCTTTTGGTTGGAAGAGGGATATCTCACCTACACCACAAGTGACGCAAGTCGGCAAAAGCCAATCGAGTCCTCTGAGTCCGTGCTGAGATTTCGTCAGACACCAGACCACCAGCACTAATGGGACTCTCAAGATAAGTGAAGCGGTCGATGTGTTCAACTACTTCAATCCCTATCAATTATTCAACCAGTGACGCAAACCAAATCTGAAATTACACTTTTCATTTGGAGGAGTAGAACCATATCTCGAAAATGCCTACATTGTTGATCAGGGTGGTCAAAAGACTTTATTTTGTCGGCGTCTTTGCCAAACAAAACTATATCATCATGGAAGGCTAGAACAATAATTGAGGCAGAATAATATGGATTCATTATATTTCGTGGTTTTTCATCATCTGCTTACAACCATATATGTATTGGAATGTCGCATTAAGATAAATAAGAAGGGTTAGTCGTGGGGATAGAGGGATTATTAAGAGATGATGGAGGGATTCGATCGTCAACAAGATGATCTCAAGTACTGATAGAGGTATGTGAGCGGTTGTCACTTCTCGATTGCCCACACTGGATGTGGAAGGATATTTCTTCTTGAGGGACCTGAAAAGGAAATCGGGATAGAGTTAGTCTTAGTGACCTGAGAACGTGATCACAGAGCACAGGTGACAACTGTTTGAAGCTGGTCATGCGCAGCCTTTTTGTGGGGAGTTTTTTATGTGTTAGCTCCGCACTTCAAAAGGCCTTACCATTCGAGACGGAAATCTGCGGGGTAAGGTGAGATGTGAAATTTTCAGGTTCGACCTTTTTTAACCCCTTCCTTCCGTTATGAGAAGGAAGCATCGCTGTAGATGCTGGTTGTCCGAGGGAAACACCTTATTACTGTCATACCCCTCTACAGTCAGCAGTACTTCAGACCTTAAATTACTGCTTTTAGTCTTACAGTTCTCCAGTCGACCTGTCTGACATGGTATGACCTAAAGGAACATATGTTCCAACCAGTATAGCTCGGCTGAGTTATCACGATAGGCGAAGCCGACCACCTTGTCAAAATGGCAGTTACGGTCAAGTTCAAAGCAATATTTCATTGTTATTAATGTTCAAGTTCGTTCGTTTAGTTGAATGTAGTTAATTAAGATCTCCAATTTTATCATGATCTTTCCAACATTTTATTATCATTTATCGATATCCGACAAAATGTTCAGCTGAAGTATGTACTGTGATTATTCTGATGATTCTTGTTGTTCGGTTTATTTGCTTGCTTTACGCAAGTGAATTACTAATTTCCTCAGTAGTTCATACTCTTGATCATTTTAAACGCTTAATGATTGCTACTGATAGCTAAGTGGGGACACAGTTTGCAGCTTTTCAGAGTCATAAAGTTTGTTTGTTGAGAAAAATGTCCTCAGAATGTTATATTTAAGTTTTATCCCTACTGTAAATATTATGAAGAAACCTAATAATCTCATAATGTAACTCTCCCCCTTAGGTTATAGTTGGGTATGCTGCTTGACTATAATCTAAAAATTCTTTCACAGTCTAAGGTATGCTTTGGTTAGAGAGCGTTAATAGACCTACTTGTTGATTGATTATTTAGCTGACAAATCCTATTTCATTTGACTAATGATATTCACTTATATGGTAATTTTAATTATTTATATTAGCAATTTATAGATAAATTTCGTTACAATGCAAAACGTGCATCCCTGGTACAAAGTAGAATTAAGCATTTAGAAAAGTTGCCACCATTAATTCCTCCTGAAAAAGAATTAAAAGTTGTGATTCGACTGCCAGATTGTGAGAAACTTTCTCCTCCTTTGTTACAACTTGATGAAGTCTGTTTTCATTATGTACTGGACAAACCAATTTTAAACCATGTCAATTTGAGCATTTCACCAGATTCACGAATCAGCATTGTAAGTTATTTTTCAGACTATGTCCTTTGTTTAAAATATTCACTTTTCATATCAGGTAAGTCACATCGAGCTTCATTGATTAAAAACTGTAAATATTATCTTTTGAATGTCAGTTCGTTAATTTATAAACTTCCTAATAAGTTTTTCAATGAATGGATATAATTCATTTATCCAGTTTCAGTCAGTCACAACGTAGAACTTCGTACGTACGTGAATCAGTTCGAGTTGCTATACCACATTAGCACAGAGATGCAGTTGTCGATTGAAATCCCATAATGGTAGAAGTAGTAAGAGTATAAGCAGTAGTCGGAAAGATTAGGGTTTGAAGATGTTATCGAAGGAGTATAATCCAGTGAAATAATTTTGGAAAGAGAAAAAAGATAGAGACATGAAGAATTCAGAAGATTAGAATGTGGCAGAACACAAAGAGTGGATGCACCTTCGCCATTGTAGACGATTTTGAGCCGTGTCATTCAGGGTCTCTAACCATCGGTTGCTATCATCTCGCGGATCCCAACCAGGTAGTCTACACCTACCAACATGGTTCAGTCCACTTGACAGTGACTTCATGGATTTGTGCCATGTTTCGGTCTGGCCGCCCATAGCTTTCTTCCAACCTGCTCCTACACCATAAAACATCCCACGTCGGGGCAGTCGGGCATACGTAACACATGTCCCAGCCATCTCAACTGATGAAGTTTCACTACTTCATCAATCGATTTGCCATCCTTACCTAGTACCCGTTTCCTAACATCTGCATTACTTACCCGGTGATCCTAGGATATACGAGCAATGCTTCTAAGACACCTATGATCGAATACTAGTAGCCTACGAATATCCTCAACTTATACCGGCCATGTTTCACAGCCATAAAGTAGGACGGAACGAACTGTTGCTCAGTAAACCTGTCTTTTGATTGCTAGACGGATATCTCGCCTACGCCATAAATGACGCAAGTTGGCAAAAGTTAAACGAATCTTCTGTATCTGTGCTAAGATTTCGTTGCACACCAGACCACAAGGGCTGATGAGACTCCCAAGGTAAATAAAGCGGTCGGCACGCTCAACTATTGATTTCATCTGGTTGCACGAAATCAGTGAACTAGGTGAAGCGGGGTTTAAACCTGAAGGCCTGTGGTTAAATGTATTTATTTATTTGAAGTGTATAAATTTTGGTGGTATAGAATTCCGAAAATGTGCCACATAAAAGAAATGATACAATAAAGAAATAAAGGGAAAAAAATACCAATAAAGTCAACCAATAGATGGACGAGAGTAGTATATGATAAGACAGTTCTATTAAAAATATAGCAGTTAAAGACTTCTTTCAGTTAAGAAAATTTGCCTGACATTTATGCAGAATATGACAAAAAAATAAATCAGGGTTGCCACTGGCTTCTATTGTGAGCCAAGGCATGTCTGATAACGTCTTGAACCATTGAGTTACCATCTCTAGAATCTCAAATAGTGTTGATGGATTGATCGATGCCAGTTTTTTAAGGTTTTCTGGGATGATATTTATAACACGTATTCGAACTATTGAGGTTGGTGTTTCTAGATTGCGATACCAATCGAATTATCGTCACTGTGCCCTAACACACATTTCCGAATCTCTGCATTACTAACATTACTAACACTAAATGTCAGCAATCCTTCGAAGAAAACAATGTTCCTACACAAGGTCGCCCAACATCAACCTGCGGAGACTAGGTTTTGCAGGCATGCAAAAAACTGCTGTCACCAATGTCTTATACACCGGACGTTTTACAGTTGAACCAACATAATGATGGTACCAAAGATGACCCAGATTAGCTTAATCCACTCTGGTTTTCACTGTGCGTAGATTAATTTTTATCTGACCTGCTGTTATGTCTTGTAGCCGAGTGGATGACTAGTTGATGTGTGACGCGATAGAACCGCCAATTAGAGAGCAGCGAATTATCGGTTGGAACAGTGTCAGTCAGTCAGCTACAACGTAGGACCAGGCACGTTTATGCATCGGTCCAAGTTGCCATACCTCGTTAGCACAACAAGATGAACACCGGGTTCATAGAAGTAATTAATTTAGTGGTGGTAGTAGTATATAAATTATAGGTTGTATATAAGGATATAGTACAGGAAGGAGGAGAGATATGAAGCAATTTTAGTCTCAAGGTTTAAAGGAAGATAAAGAGTGTATACACCTACGCCATTGTGATCGATTCTGAGCCATGTCACCTAGAGTCTCCAACCATTGGTTACGATAGTCACGCGGACCCCAACCAGGTAGTCTGCATCTGCCAACATGGCTCAGACTAGAAGTTAGTGACTTCAAACACTGATGCCATGTTTTGGTTTGGCCGCCCCTAACTCTCTTCCAACAATCCCCTACACTAGTCAACATTGCGCGTCGTGGTAATCGATGTACAGGCATACGTAACACGTGGCCCAACCATCTCAGTCGATGAAGATTCATGACCTCATCAACTGATTTACCATCATTCCCTAATACCCTGCGTCTAACCTCACTATTACTTACCCGGTGATCCCAGCAGATGCGAGCAATATTTCTAAGGCATCTGTGGTCAAATACTAGTAACCTACGAGTATCTTCTACTCTTAATGGCCATGTTTCACAACCGTAAAGTAGAACAGAGCGAACTGATGCGCAGTATACTCGTCCTTTAATTGATAGACGGATATCTCGTCTTCGCCATAGGTGACGTAAGTTGGCAAAAGCCAAACGAGCTTTTCGAATCCGTGCTGAGATTTCGTCAGACACCAACCCATTAGGGCTGATCAGACTTCCAAGATAAGTGAAGTTGTCAACGCGTTCGACTACTTCACTCCCTATCCTTAGTTCAGGTGTTGATGCAGGCCAGTCCTGGAGTAACAATTTACATTTGGATGGGGAGAATCGCATCCCAAACATCCTGGCATTATTACTGAGTTCCAACAGAAGACTCTGCATTTTGCCAGCGTCTTCACCAAACAGGACTATGTCATCTGCGTATTCTAAGTCGCTTAGTGGTCCCCCTGGTAGGAGATCAATTCCTGTAAATTCAGTCGAAGAGAGTGTTATTTCCAGCAACAGGTCTATAATGAAGTTAAACAAAAATGGGGATAGTGGACAGCCTTGACGGACACCACTTGAGGTCGTAAAATCATATGACAGTTCGCCATAAGCTCTCACTCGACTGGTAGTGTTCGAGTAAAGAGCCTTCACAAGGTTTATGTACTTCTCAGGTACACCTTTCAATGACAGACACTGCCACAGAACCTCTCGGTCTACAAAGTCAAATGCTGCTTTCAAGTCAAGAAAAACTATCATTGTCGGACGCCGATAAGCGTGTCTGTGCTCTAAAACTTGACGAATGGTGAATATGTGGTCGATACAGCCACGACCAGGTCTGAAGCCAGCCTGATTTTCTCGTGTTTGCAGTTCACGAGTCTTAGTTAGGCGCCCGATAATTATTGAGGCTAGTATTTTAGATGCTATGTTGGTCAGACTAATCCCTCTATGGTTATCGCAGGATGATTTTGACCCCTTTTTATATATTGGGACAATCAGTGATTGTGACCAGTCGGATGGGATTACATCCGTCTCCCAGATTTTAGCCAGAATATTAGTCAACCTAATCGCTAAAATCGGACCACCATATTTAAAGACCTCTGGAGCCAATCTATCTGGACCAGCTGCTCTTCCTCGTTTCAGATTACCTATAGCCTTTTGAACTTCAAGTAGGGTCGGGGGGCCTACTTCAATGTTCCATTCAGGTTTTCTAGGGATAGTGGGTAGTTGTGCAGTAGCTGAAGGCCAGCTAAACTGCTCCTTAAAGTGTTCCGCCCATCGTTCTAAACGTTTGGGTTGAGAGCAGATAAGGGTTCCGTCTTTTTCGGAGATCGTCTCACTTACACTTGACTTCTTAATTCCGGTTTCTTTTATTAGTCTGAATAGTTGCCTGGTGTTCCCTACAGCCGCTGCCTTTTCCATCTCTTTTGCTTTCGTTGCCCATCACTGCTCACGATCGTTCCTTAGACTTTTAGTTAACCTAGATCTAATTTGTTTACGCTCTTCGTCATGTTCAGAGCCTGATGGGATGAGTTTGTGCGAATCCATCAGTGAAATAGACTTAGAAGAAATCCATTGGTTTTTTGGAGCCCTATGGTTTAAATGACTAATAGATGTAACTGCTGTTTCCACAGCTGTTCGTATGTCTTTCCAAGCAGCATCTGTGTCAGTCTTGTTTACAGAACTGCCTAGATGTGAACTCAGTTGTTTCTGGAATTCGCATTTGGCTTTCTCGTCCTCCAGTTCAATCCTAATGGGTCTTCTTAGTGTACTTTTCCTGCGTCCATTGAGGTGCAGACAAATGCGCGCTCGTATTAAAGCGTGATCAGAGTCTAAACAAGTATTCCAATACGAGCGACAATCTTCTATTGAGCCTCTCCAACGATGACAGATGACAATATGGTCTATTTGAGTCTATCGTTGGTTTGGTGCAAGTGGTCGCCATGTTAGACGATGTCTCTCCTTATGTTTAAAATTAGTGCTTGCTAAAAATAAATGATTGTCTGAGCATAGTTGCAACAGACGATCACCATTATCGGTTCGTTGAGCCGGAATACTAAAACACCCACCTAAATGTCTTTCTGTTTGATTCAAGCTGCCTACCTGGGCATTAAAGTCACCCGCTACAACTACTATGTCTGAGCGCTTAGCTTTCTGAAGAAGCTCAGAGAGCTTTCTGTAAAAGTCATCTTTCACTTCATCATGGCTGCAGTCGGTGGGAGCGTAGGCAGAAACGACGAAAAGGCAACGACGTGTGTCCCTATCCTTCCGAGTTCTTACGGAGCCATTCAGCCGGACAGCACACAGGCGACTGTTAACGGGGATCCATTCTAATAGTGCCTGTTCTGCCCTTGTACTTAGTGCTATGCCTACACCTGCAAGTCCGCGAGAACTAGCCAACGGGTCGCCAGATATACGGAGGGTGTATTTCGTTGGCTGTCCATTTTGGCGAGGTGAGGTCAAGTGAATGACCACACTGGGATCCTGTATGCGTGTTTCGGAGACACAGCATACATCAATGGTACGAGATTCTAGGGTTTTAGCTAAGGAGGCCTGTTGACCGATTTGGCATAGGGTACGTACGTTGAAGGCTCCAATGTGTAGTTTGGAGCGAGGTTTAAGTAGACCTGGGACAGCGTTTCGCGCACAAGAATCGTTGGCCATGGTGACACTTGAGGAGGAAACCGGAACAGGAAGTTTAGTGTTGAAAGTCAAGGTAGAAGGAATAGTAGGAATTGAAGAAAGAGATTGATTATGAATACGGTGGTCTTGAGTGCTGTTAGAGGTATGAGGGCGGTTATCACTTCCCGGTTGCCCACACCGTGGAAGGGTTCTCCTGGGGGTACCTGAAAAGGAAATTGGGTTAGAAGTGGTCTTAATGACCTGAGAGCGTGACCGCAGTGCCCAAGGGACAACTGCTTGAGGTCGGTCACACACGACCTTTTTGTGGGTAGTTTTTGTGTTAGCTCCGTTCTTCAAAAAAAACCTTACCGCCGGAGACGGATATCCGTGGGATAAGGCAAGGTGTGCATTTTTAGGGCCGACCTTTTCTAACCCCACCCCTCCTTGTTGGAAGGCAGCATCGCTGTCATGCTGGTTGTCTGAAGGAAACACCTTACTGCCGTCACACCTCTGTACAGTCGACAGTACGACTTCGCCTTCGGACCTTGGGTTTGCTGCTTTTAGTCTCACCGCTCTTCAACCGACCTGTCTGGCATGGTAGGACCTTGAGGAACGATTGTTCCAGCCAGTATAGCTCGATTGCTTCATCACGATAGGCAAGCCCGACCACCACGTCAAGGTAGCAGCAACGGTCGGGGTTGGAACAGTGACACGAAACCCGTATGTGCAGACTAGATTGCTAACCGGACCTGCGATCTGCCTAGCCCAACCAGTTAAGCCCAAAACACCAATAACAGCCTCAGTGGTATGGATCATTATTTACAAACATACTGGGTTTTTATACAAACCAGAGTAATCAATAACTGAGTATAACTCAAGAATCGTATGATAATAAATCAAAAATCAAAATAAAGCTCATGATAAGAGAAACACGAATATGAATAGTTTAGTTACGTAACAATTTTACAATAGGAAATAGGCATAATTCATTGGTCGATAAATAGACCTAAAAGTTAACATTCGTAATTCACCGGGGGATATAACACCTCCCCTTATTGAGAAATCCGAGCTCCTCCGCCCCCACGAAATAGTGTTGGATCCTCATATACCCAAGTTTCTATTAATGCGATTCTATTTATAACATGTTTCTGGCATTCAATAGCGAACCTGCTAAGATTGACTGGATGGTGAGGATCGACATTTGATGTGAGGTCAGAATTTGATTCTGCAGAAATGTAGTCATTAGACTTATTGCAAACATCACTGGCAGGTTTTGGATCACTATGATAAACAGCGTCCACCAAAACTGCGCTAGGTTCCAGATTTGACGCATGTAACAAATTTTCTGGACAAGCTTTGGAATCTTTATCATTAGATTCGGTAAAAATTTCTATTGCAGAATGCGATTCGCTCCGTGTACTGCTCGATATTATATCTGGTACTTTTTGGGCGGTTAGTACGACCATTTCATGGGCATTTGACATGGCATCATGTTGATGAGAGCTCAAAGCGTCACTGTTCGGACCTGCTAATTCAGGAATAGTGGGGTTTGAATCCACTACCGGGCACGTTTCTGAAATAGATGTGAATGGACAACCGGGCGTCTCTTGAGAGACTGCTGTTTCGTTTGAGTTGCGGCTGGTCGAGGATTCATGGAGGCTGCGATCATTTTCCAGCTCTGCGTGAAATTCTGTGATTAATCCATCCACCTCCGACGCATATGCAAAGCATTGGTAATCCAGAAATTGTGTGCGTAGTTTGACCATGAACTCCAAATGTCGGTCAAATAGCAACTGTAATCGGTCAGAAGGGAGCGTCATTTTTCACTTTTTTTTGTCCCCGTTGCCAATTGTTATGCTTGTGGCCGAGTGGATGACTAGTTGATGTGTGGCTCGATAGAACCGCCAAACAGGGAGCAGCGGATTATCGGTTGGAACAGTGACACGAAACCCGTATGTGCAGACTAGATTGCTAACCGGACCTGCGATCTGCCTAGCCCAACCAGTTAAGCCCAAAACACCAATAACAGCCTCAGTGGTATGAATCATTATTTACAAACATACTGGGTTTTTATACAAACCAAAGTAATCAATAACTGAGTATAACTCAAGAATCGTATGATAATAAATCAAAAATCAAAATAAAGCTCATGATAAGAGAAACACGAATATGAATAGTTTAGTTACGTAACAATTTTACAATAGGAAATAGGCATAATTCATTGGTCGATAAATAGACCTAAAAGTTAACATTCGTAATTCACCGGGGGATATAACACCTGCTACTATGAATACTCACCCAACCGCTCAAATACATGAACTTGTTGACTACTAACAGTTAATGACAAAGTGAGTGCAGACTACTGGTTGAAATTCACTGAGCAAATATCGATTAGTATTATGGGTTTTAATTTCATTCCTAAACGATACACACTTAACTTATTTTCATCTTCTAGAATTTTCCTTTTGGATTACTAATGGATTTAGATCTTATTGTACTTCAATTTGTATTGTTAGTTCATTTGGTGGATTATTAATTTTTGTCAACTGTTTTCTTATTCAGGTTGGTGAAAATGGTGCAGGTAAAACGACATTACTTCGGCTTCTTCTAGGTGAGTTAGAACCGACTTCAGGATTACGCCACGCACATCGCAGTTTACGTATTGGCTACTTTAGCCAACATCACGTTGACCAGCTGGATTTAAAATTAAGCAGTTTAGAATTTTTGATGAGGAAGTTCCCAAACCAGACTGAACAAGTTTATCGTTCTCAGTTGGCGAATTTCAATATAACGGAAATGCTTGCTCTTCAACCAATCGGCAGTTTGTCAGGAGGACAAAAATCAAGAGTTGCATTTGTTGCTATGTGTATGTCCAGGTAAATTTTACGCCAATTAATGACAGTCGTTTTATTTTGGTAACCACATTAAATGATATTATAATGACTCACTAATCGATTGTACTATGTTAAACTGCCCTATTCGTTATTCTACCTTTATACAGCTCATGTGAAATTTTTACTAAGTACTAGTATCTATCACAATGACCGTAGCAACATTCTCCTTAGTCGTCTCTAGTGAGTACATGCGTAATTACTTGATTCATTTTCAGTGATTGCATTACAACTGTACAGGGTAACACAGCAGACCACTGCGTTTTGTGTCTAGGAAAGAGAAATATGAAAACACCAAATCACTAACTTCTAGTCTGAGCCATGTTGGCAGATGCAGACTACCTGGTTGGGGTCCGCGTGACTATCGTAACCAATGGTTGGAGACTCTAGGTGACATGGCTCAGAATCGATCACAATGGCGTAGGTGTATACACTCTTTATCTTCCTTTAAACCTTGAGACTAAAATTGCTTCATATCTCTCCTCCTTCCTGTACTATATCCTTATATACAACCTATAATTTATATACTACTACCACCACTAAATTAATTACTTCTATGAACCCGGTGTTCATCTTGTTGTGCTAACGAGGTATGGCAACTTGGACCGATGCATAAATGTGCCTGGTCCTACGTTGTAGCTGACTGACTGACTGACCAAATCTTGCACAAAAGGGCTTTACTTTAAATTGTCGTACTTCTCAAGTTCATAAAGGCTAAGAACAATCAGTATAACAAGTCGAAAAAATGCCTCAAATAAAGGTGAATCGATGTATAAAGAACAGTATTTGAGAAAATATTAGATAATCTGTTTATCGGAGGTAATGAAACTCTGAAGTTAGGTGAGAAGTTTACTGCTATTATCGTTATCAATCGTAACAACCCAACTAGCAGTGATTAGAAAACTTATTAGATATGAATTTAAATCAGTGATCAAAATTATAAACACAAGCAAACCAACATACTTAACAATGATGCGCAACATCTATTGTATCAAGTCTATTAGCAGTATTGTTTGAATTTTAGTGGGGGTACATATTGGTTAGAAACAAAAAAATTAAACTACTCAACAATAACTGTAGTCTATTAAAGTGTATAGACAAAATAATAATAATAATAATAATAATAATATAATACATGTACGGCTTGCCTTGATGAAATTGGCTAGTTTGAAGCAGTAATGTTTTGTAGGAAGAACGTCCTATGCAAATAAAATTAAAAACGTTGAAATGGATTACTTCCCACTGATCTTTAACTAACTAGCTGGGGAATAAAAAAAAATCAACTGTTGTTGCGACTTTGAACGATGCATACATTTGCTAACTAATTTGATGGGTTTATCGGTCACGAATATTCTGATATCATATGGTTGTCCTGCATGTACAGTTAACACTAACTAGGTGAACGTAGTCTTGTTTGTACATTTGGATTTACTTATGTAGAATATTGGTGTATTTCTTGTTATTCAAAAGGACATACAGACCTACCTAAGGAGTTCATTTTCTGTCCTTTCAATTTTTAGTCCAAATTTGCTTGTTCTCGATGAACCGACAAATCATCTAGATGTGGAAACGATTGCAGGCTTATCTGATGCTTTGGTTAATTTTCCCGGTGGAGTTGTACTTGTTTCACATGACGAACGTTTAATTCAAGCTGTATGTAATGAAGTATGGGTGTGTACACGCATGGGTTTAAGTCCTGTTGACAGTGCTAAAGGAAGTCGTGTACATTCATTACCAGGTGGCTTGGAAGAATACAAAAAAGCTGTTCGAGTTGAACTGGTTCAACTAAAATTGTAATCTATTAAGATAAAATTTGTATGAAATATTCTGACGTTTTATTATTATGCAGGTCTTCAAGATGGATTATAATTTTGGCTGTGCTTCATTATTCTTCACCTGTTTGCTTTCAGTGAAAATTTTTTTACTTGGAATAGATATGGTTTATTTTTTTGTTTGTTTTACTTAGTTGGCTGCAGTTGTTTATTGTCTTTTGTTAGGATACATTTGGCTGTTTCCTAATACGCTGCGTCTTTTGTACACGTCCGTCAGCTAGTTTATTTAAAAATCTCGTTTGCCATGTAAAGGTTTATGTGGCCAGCTTTGAGTCACATAGTTTACTCGAGGATTAGCTAGTGGTACTACCGGGTTGCTAAAACTGAAATAATGGAGGGGGTCCAGACGTTGGACTTGGAGTCAGACAATAACATTCAACATATGCAAACTAACGGTAAAGTCGAAGAGGTGTGGATATCATTATTTATCATATAAGAACTTGTTAATAATGCATAAAGTGAAGATGTCATAGCGTAGAAAATTTTTTTTCGAATATCTCATTTCCCAGATACAACCGTATTTAAAATTACTTTTATATATAATGGGCTGTAATATAAATAAAGAGCTTAATGTGTCATTAACAGAGCCACTGAAAGTCGGTCAGAATTTTAAGCTACGTATCAGTCAAATGGTATTAATAATGAGATAACATATAGGAACGAGATGTAAAAGATTATCCACCAGATCATAAGGAAAATGAAAATATGGACAAACATGAGTCTATTATGCATGTTAAAAATAACTTTAAGTATCATTGTACAACCTCAGTAAGTGATATTATCGAAAATAAAGTTTCGATTTTGTTGACTGCTTCAATAGTTTGTTTTCGTTATTTCAAAACCAAAAAGTCTTTAATTGTGCTACTGCAACAGTGGTACAGAGTACAATCATCGAGGAGTTCCTAACCACAAACTCTTTCTTATGAATACCACATTCAAATAGAGGACTCTACCAAGGATAGATAAATTAGTATACTAGACAATAATCCCAGTAATCCTATGAGATACCTAGGTCATTTGGTGTATGTAACTTAATATTATGTTTCGTTTTTTCTCAGTTAATAGCCGAAATTATTGATTTACAATCCTATTGTCACCCAGTCGATAAATAAATACATAAAAAATTTATGTACAGGAAGAAAACTGTTGTTCATTATTATTAACAAGCGTGATAATTGTACACAACCTACTAGATACTCAATCTGGCCTTCGTTTTTATTGTTTGCTGAATAAATAAAACCATATCATTGAAAGCGTAATTTAAAGGAAAAACAAAATAAGCTGAAGAATAGAAAATAAAAGTGAAACTGAATGGAATTGATAACAATAATAACAGCGGCAACAACACTGCAGAGTGAAACTAGTAACGAAGAGAGAGAGCAATAAAGAAAAATAGAGGTTTTATTCAAGTTCTCAAAATTTACATTCAATGTATTCTCATAAATAATTTTCTGAGGATTAAAGATAAATGAGAAAATAACGAAAGACATATCAGTTAAATAGTTGAATATTCATCCCAAGTTAATTAATGAGCGAAAAAACGGTTTAGAAGTGCACCATAACAGGAGAAAGGCAAATAATTGCTTTGAAATTAACAAGTTCTCACTTTTCATAATTTACACACTTTTTAATGTGCTTATGTGCAAGCTGAATAAATAAATCTACCTTTTGTCATTTGTTACATTCTTTTCTTATAAACCATAAGTATTCTTCCACTTTTGTTCATCCTCAAATTTAGCTTCAGGTCTAAGTTGGTTACGTAAACCCCCGAGAATATTTGCTGTTACCTGTAAAGGTAAGAAAAAGCGATAATGACAATTTCATTGCAATTTTTGAATGACACTAAACAATTATAAGGACAAAGAGTACTTAGTGGTAAGATTTACGGTAACAGATTACAGAACTTAATGATTCTCATTATATAAAACTGTTGTACAAGTGGTAACCAGAAAACTAGAAGTAATTCTCAGCCTGCCAGGTTCTAGCTCTATTCGATACTTTTATCATCCTGAAGAAGAGTTGTTTTCACTACGATACAATTGATCATCTGAATAAAATAACCAAATTTAATTTATAGCTTATGTTGTGCGGTCGTACGAGTTCGATACTCATATAAAAGCTTTCTATAATGAGAGCCCGATCAGCTGCTTGAGTGAAAAATCGAATGAGCAGGAAGCCTTTTACTGATTAAGCGACTCGAGCATAGGTCCACTTCTACGCATCCAGCAATGAACATTTCGGTGAATCATACAAACAGCAGTATAAAACTCAAAGCAGGAAAAGAAAAATAAACCAAATGTAGTCGTTCAGTTTGTTGCGCTTACTTCACAGCTGGCCACTATTGGTGTAACCATAGTTGGTGGTATTTGACGTAACACATCACCAACCATCCCCACTGGACCTTTATATCCAATTTCAACCTCTGATGGTAATGCAGTAGCACCACACAAATCTTCTGCTACCATTTGAAATCCTCGTGTCAATACATTTACAGCATTACCAAATCCTTCGCGTATATCAGCTGGTTGTCTTAAATATAATCGTCGACTACGTAAAGCTGGTCCTGGTGTAACTAAGTCGTAAGCTGTCTAAATTGTGAAAAGAAAAATAGAATGTACTTTATTATGATGTAAAAGAAACTTAACTAATTCCTATTTAGTATTGATCGCTAACAAACAAACCGTAAAGGTATTTAGAAGGTACAAATCAACTAGAAAAAGGGGTAATGTGATGTTAACAATTTACACCAAGATAAATATTGTATCTATTCCAATGAAATCGATCATAATTTTAAACTTGTACTTTCGAGATAAATTGAATGTTAAAACGCATGGGTGAATTAATCTTACTCAATTCTTAATTCTTACAGGAAAAGAAATATGGACGGAACAGTAACTTCAGTTGTAATAGTTTTTATCCTGTTAGTTGCAAAAGTTGTTTAGTTAAAACCTTATTTCACAGGGGTAGAAGATTGTGTTCAGCCATAAAATACAGGAAGCAATAGCATACATTAATGAGTATCTTATCAAAATGGATATCTAAAGAAATTTATTACGAAGTAGGGAAAAATGTCTTGAAGGAAGTAAAGTGTTCGCAAGTGCGACTGGTAGTGTTCCAGTCAGATTGCTTGGCAAAGTCTTTTCTGAGGAGGCCTGTAGGCCCTCCTGGAATGGATTCCGTGTTCTCAAGGCTAACAAACCCACTGCATGGATGTGATTTCGTGGTGAACCGCGGACCCGCAGGTCTTTGCTTGTATGTACGTATCGTGACATGGAGAGCAAGTAAAGGATTTTTTGAAGTTTTTACTTACCCTGGATAGGTATAGTCTACATGCATACTAAGTAACACATGAACTTTCATCCGAGTGTTCCTTGATATGCATGCATACATACAGGTATGCCTACTCTATGAGCAAATATACGCTGCATGCACGTCGGTAACACACAGTTTTTATCCTATGCACCCTATTGCATACATATTGGTGTGTTCACCACTCCCTTACAAACATATTTGCGACGACAGACTGTCTGTTACACATTACATACATATCATTCAAACCATGGCTACCGCCCCAGTCCTTCCTGATACACATAAGCATAAGGGAGACCACTAGACATTTAACGGATAGTGGATACTGTTATGGCTGTATGGCCTTGTTAATATATCATGTGATACGATCCGCAATTAGGAAACCCTGAATTACTAAACGGACCAATGACACGTAAACCTGTACGAACAGTCTAGAGTTCTTAATGGTCCTGTGAGGTAGTAGCTTCTCTCCTAACCCAGCCGGTTCAGTCCAGAACACCAATACCAGCCTCCATTAGACGAACCATATATTTCAGACATACTGGGTTTATATACAAACAGACAAGACCGCATCATATCATAAGATAGGAAATAACAATTATACAAGATCAGGCAAAAAAGTGGATGTGATTGTGAGGAACTGTAACTAATAAATTGGGAATAACTCGAATAGTAAATCATATAATAGTAGCCAATAAGTCAGACGGAAGCTTATAATAAAAGGAATATGAATGTACATATAGTATAGTTACTTGATAGTTATACAATAAGAATACTCTTAATATTAGTCCATTTATTCTTCCGAATACAACAGATACGTGAATATAGCGAAAGCGTTTAAAACAATTCGGAAACAGTAAACGCCACTTTTACTTAGCGTTGCATAAGCCAGTTCCATGGAGAACTTTCGACCTGACCTTTGTATACGGAATGTCTGATAAATCTCTCATTGCTATGTTAAGATAGCTAAATTATTTTGATTATTGTCGGTCAATATTTTTAATTATAAACATCCATTGATAAACAAAACGGAACTAGAAATCTATTGAAGAAGTTTCGAAATATACAACAGGAGTTTAATGTCCACTTTTGTACATGCAAAATTAAAATAAACTAAATCAATATGAAACTCACTTCTGCAATAGATTGAACAGCTCTTATACCTTGAATACTCAACTGTAAGGTTGCCCACAGAGTACTTGTTGAAAATGATCGTGTGCCTCTTCTAAGACCATGAATAATTCCACTTCGACTGGTACCACAAGATGTATCTGTAAGCATATATTCTCTACTATGACAAATTTCATTACGAAGCTGATGGGGTTTTTTAAACAAACCCAATTTACAAACAGCTGTACCAACATGACCAGAATCCAATGATGTATTAGGTAGTTCAGCCGTCCCATAGAAGCTGCAAACAGGTTGATAGACTAGATCCCATAAACCGAGAACTGGAATATAAGAATAAGATTTACGTGTGTATTACGACAGTACACGTGAAAAAGCAATAGTGCACAATTTGAGGGCAATGATGTCTTTGTCAACTAAATTTAACGTAATAGATACTTTGTTGAGATAAGTTCATATAACGACGTAAAAATTACATTAGAGTGATTTTCAGAAATAACCCATTAGCTTTAATATACAATGAGAAACTTAATAGATACTTGGAATGATAAGAAAAAGTCTGATTTATCCATAAGATACATTTAGATCTTGTGTTATAAACAGACGGTCATGGACCAATATTTGTGAACTTAATAGTATTTGTTCGTTAGTAATTAATCGATTATGTTTCATCAAAATGTGTTCAGATCACAGAGTCTATCAGTTGGAATTGTTTTAAATAATTTAAAGAAATTATTCCCTTTTATAAATTTCGATAGAACAATTAGAAGACGGAGTTGATCTGAAAAATGCAATGCATTTGCGCAATACATTTCGAACAATCTGGTCACATATTTACTTGTCAAGGCATTTTATATGAAAATAATAATGGTCAGACATTATATAGGAATAATATATATTTGTAAAATCTCAGCGAATGAATTTGTAGTAAATCCAACGTTTCGCAAGGCAATCTGGTCCAAGCTTTTTCAAGGAATTATAATCAAAATTATCGAATATAAATAGGTTCATGGTTATCCGGGTTCATTGTACACTGAATAGGTCATTCAATCAACGTTAACAAAGTTAAAACTAGGTATGTGTATTAGTGTGCAAGAGATGTGTGAAGTGATGAGTGTTCATATAACATATTGTATAGAAAACGTAAGAGGTGAAAGGAGAAATTACATTCACACAATATATTGTCTCTTATCAGTAAATTTATAAGGAAACATACAATTTGTAATATATGTGATATGAATCATATCTGTCACAGCATGTATAAAATGATGATAATTAAACAAAAATAAAAGCTTCAATTGACTCATGATCTCAACTCTATAAATTACTAAAATCTTCACAAAACCCCTTCTGATAAAAATAAAAAGAGTGTAATTTTTAAAACTGTATATATGTGTCATTTTTAATGTTCCAGTGAATTGTTAAACAATTTCCGAAAGCTTCAATTGACTCACGCTTTCAACTATGATAAATTTCCGATAAGACAACTGATTAGAATCATCGAATGCAATTGTTGTCATTTAGATAATACGAAATAGATAAAAAACGTTAAGGAGTTCAGGTTTTTACTTATTAATGATTAGCTGCCATGGCACTGCTAATTGTATTCCATCCCTCCTATTAATATTGTTTGGATTAGCCGAAATGTATAGGGCTTCAGCTGTTTGTCTTTCCTTGTAAGAATTAAAATCTTTTTGAAGGATTTTTGTGTGAACGAAATCAATTGTATGACCCGATTCTATCGAGTGTAATGCTATCGCTGATTTGTTCTCTAGTTTCCTTACATCATCAGAGGATTTAGGAATGTGTTTCAAACATTGTTTGTGTTCCTTCACCCTCATATTCAGTTGTCTTGATGTTTCACCTACATACGTTGCATTACAGTCACTACATCTGATTTCATAGACACAATTTTGTTGTTCTTCTTTGTGAATTGGATCTTTAATTCTTACTAACTTAGATCTTGAGGTATTGTTTGTTCGAAAAAATACTCTTATATTTTGACTATTTAAGATTCTTCTAATATCTTCTGAAACACCTTTCCGATGTGGGATCACCACTGTGTTAACCCATTCCTTTTTCTGTAATCTTTTTGTATTATCTATACCGTCTTTTCTTTCATTCTTAATTATTCTTTTAATAAAATCTTTCGGATAATTGTTCATCATTAGGCTGGATGTAATTAAATTTATTTCCTTTTTCATATCGTTTGGTTCCGTGACAAGTTTTTGAGCTC